TATCACTCAAATTATCATCATCTCACTGTGGACTTATGCCTCATGTGGGTTAGTTTTTTTTTTTTTTTTTGTAAGGAGGGAACAGGATATGCCTGACCTCAAAAGTTGTTTGCTGGTCTAAAGTTAGAGGATGAGTGGAAATTTAAAAGCACTTTGAATTTTTTTGTGTAAATATATGTAATGCTAAGTCCGTCACCTGGGCACATATATAAGTCACTATTAGTTTAAAGATTAAATAATTTATTCCTCTGCATATTTTTCAGAAAATCAGGAAAAAGAGAAACAACAAATGAAAATTCTAAAACAGTTTTTACCTGCATGAATTCATCATGGTATATGACTTGTACTTTACTCAGTCTCGAGTCTGTCCTCAAATCTTGAGTGGTTAAGGCCAGCAGATGTATTGCATTAATAATAGACATGAGCAGCTCTATTAGTTGTAATGTATTGATTGCAAATTTTTCCAAAATGTGTTAAGAAATAAATGTTTGCCATAAGTGTGAGGAATTTTTGTCTCATTCATGCTTGATTTTTGGGGTTTATGCATCCTCATGATCAACAGTTTGCTCCTTGTATAGTTGTATTGCTTTTAACACACATTGTTCTTATGGCGAGTTAGTATTACAAGAACCATATTTACACAGAACTTGCTGTTACTTCAACAGATTTATTTATTTTCATAATTTGTTTATGCAGTTATTTACTGTATATTTTTAATAATTTACTGTAAAGAACTAATTTATTTATTTCTTATTTGTATTATTTAATTAGGTAATTTGATTGAACTTTGTATAGAAAGGGGTTTAGTTATAGGTAATACATATTTTAAGAAAAAGAGGATAAATAAGTATACAAGATATGATGTAGGGCAAAATGACAGTAGTTTGTTGGATTATGTATTGGTAGATAAAAGACTGTTGAGTAGACTTCAGGATGTACATGTTTATAGAGGGGCCACAGATATATCAGAACACTTTCTAGTTGTAGCTACACTGAGAGTAAAAGGTAGATGGGATACAAGGAGAATAGAAGCATCAGGGAAGAGAGAGGTGAAGGTTTATAAACTAAAAGAGGAGGCAGTTAGGGAAAGATATAAACAGCTATTGGAGGATAGATGGGCTAATGAGAGCATAGGCAATGGGGTTGAAGAGGTATGGGGTAGGTTTAAAAAAGTAATGTTAGAGTGTTCAGCAGAAGTTTGTGGTTACAGGAAAGTGGGTGCGGGAGGGAAGAGGAGCGATTGGTGGAATGATGTAAAGAGAGTAGTAAGGGAGAAAAAGTTAGCATATGAGAAGTTTTTTACAAAGTAGAAGTGATGCAAAGAGGGAAGAGTATATGGAGAAAAAGAGAGAGGTTAAGAGAGTGGTGAAGCAATGTAAAAAGAGAGCAAATGAGAGAGTGGGTGAGATGTTATGAACAAATTTTGTTGAAAATAAGAAAAAGTTTTGGAGTGAATTAACAAGTTAAGGAAGCCTAGAGAACAAATGGATTTGTCAGTTAAAAACAGGAGAGGAAAGTTATTAAATGGAGAGTTAGAGGTATTGGGAAGATGGAGGGAATATTTTAAGGAACTGTTAAATGTTGATGAAGATAGGGAAGCTGTGATTTCGTGTATAGGGCAAGGAGGAATAACATCTTGTAGGAGTGAGGAAGAGCCAGTTGTGAGTGTGGGGGAAGTTCGTGAGGCAGTAGGTAAAATGAAAGGGGGTAAGGCAGCCGGGATTGATGGGATAAAGATAGAAATGTTATAAGCAGGTGGGGATATAGTTTTGGAGTGGTTGGTGCAATTATTTAATAAATGTATGGAAGAGGGTAAGGTACCTAGGGATTGGCAGAGAGCATGCGTAGTTTCTTTGTATAAAGGCAAAGGGGTCAAAAGAGAGTGCAAAAATTATAGGGGGATAAGTCTGTTGAGTATACCTGGTAAAGTGTATGGTAGAGTTATTATTGAAAGAATTAAGAGTAAGACGGAGAATAGGATAGCAGATGAACAAGGAGGCTTTAGGAAAGGTAGGGGGTGTGTGGACCAGGTGTTTACAGTGAAACATATAAGTGAACAGTATTTAGAAAAGACTGAAGAGGTCTTTGTGGCATTTTTGGATTTGGAAAAGGCGTATGACAGGGTGGATAGGGGGGCAATGTGGCAGATGTTGCAGGTGTATGGTGTAGGAGGTAGGTTACTGAAAGCAGCGAAGAGTTTTTACGAGGATAGTAAGGCTCAAGTTAGAGTATGTAGGAAAGAGGGAGATTATTTCCCAGTAAAAGTAGGCCTTAGACAAGGATGTGTGATGTCACCGTGGTTGTTTAATATATTTACAGATGGGTTGTAAGAGAAGTAAATGCGAGGGTCTTGGCAAGAGGCGTGGAGTTAAAAGATAAAGAATCACACATAAAGTGGGAGTTGTCACAGTTGCTCTTTGCTGATGACACTGTGCTCTTGGGAGATTCTGAAGAGAAGTTGCAGAGGTTGGTGGATGAATTTGGTAGGGTGTGCAAAAGAAGAAAAAATAAAAGTGAATACAGGAAAGAGTAAGGTTATGAGGATAACAAAAAGATTAGGTGATGAAAGATTGGATATCAGATTGGAGGGAGAGAGTATGGAGGAGGTGAATGTATTCAGATATTTGGGAGTGGACGTGTCAGCGGATGGGTCTATGAAAGATGAGGTGAATCATAGAATTGATGAGGGGAAAAGGGTGAGTGGTGCACTTAGGAGTCTGTGGAGACAAAGAACTTTGTCCTTGGAGGCAAAGAGGGGAATGTATGAGAGTATAGTTTTACCAACGCTCTTATATGGGTGTGAAGCATGGGTGATGAATGTTGCAGCGAGGAGAAGGCTGGAGGCAGTGGAGATGTCATGTCTGAGGGCAATGTGTGGTGTGAATATAATGCAGATAATTCGTAGTTTGGAAGTTAGGAGGAGGTGCGGGATTACCAAAACTGTTGTCCAGAGGGCTGAGGAAGGGTTGTTGAGGTGGTTCGGACATGTAGAGAGAATGGAGCGAAACAGAGTGACTCCAAGAGTGTATCAGTCTGTAGTGGAAGGAAGGCGGGGTAGAGGTCAGCCTAGGAAAGGTTGGAGGGAGGGGGTAAAGGAGGTTTTGTGTGCGAGGGGCTTGGACTTCCAGCAGGCATGCATGAGCGTGTTTGATAGGAGTGAATGGAGACAAATGGTTTTTAATACTTGATGTGCTGTTGGAGTGTGAGCAAAGTAACATTTATGAAGGGGTTCAGGGAAACCGTCAGGCCGGACTTGAGTCCTGGAGATGGGAAGTACAGTGCCTGCACTCTGAAGGAGGGGTGTTAATGTTGCAGTTTAAAAACTGTAGTGTAAAGCACCCTTCTGGCAAGACAGTGATGGAGTGAATGATGGTGAAAGTTTTTCTTTTTCGGGCCACCCTGCCTTGGTGGGAATCGGCCAGTGTGATGATAATAATAAAAAATGACACTGTCATTACACACACTAATAAGCTATGAGTTTCTATATACCTATTCAGTTCCCAGGAAGAAAGGATTAATTTTCTGATCTTTTTTTGGCTCTTAATGGTTTTTGTTTCTGTATTATTTGTTCAGTTTATGACAGCCCTATTAATAATTTGGCCATCAGTCCAGTCAGAGTTGACTGGTTGTTTCACCATTTTAATTTAGTTTTATGGCAGCAATGGCTCACATTGCTGATGCTTGTGCTTTCATCTTTTCAATGATTCATGAACCATGGTGGTGTGCTGCTGAACACACTATTGTAATTTATCATATTTTTCAAGAATTTGCAAGTAAAAACACAGAGTTTATAATCAGCATTTTAGTATTACACCTGATCTGTATACTGTTATTTTCTAAGGTTCAAGATATTAAGTAAGATAAATAAAGCAATAGTGTTATGCCAGTTAAACTTTCTAGCAAAACCATCCAGTACTTGTGCTGGTCTTCCATATTTCTCAATGGTTTCCAAGTAATGATGGTGAGATTTCTACTCATTATCATAACATTACACATGATCTGCATTCTCCTGTTTAGTAAGACAGAATATTAAGGGAGACCAAATCATAAGTGTGATGCTAGATAACTGTTATATTTGTGTAGATATGCCAGATTGACTTTGGTGATAAATGCGCAGTGTTCTGTGAAAATTTTTTGCACATTTCTTGAAATTTTATTCCATGCAGGCATATCCTCATCATTTGTGGATGGAATCCAGAATTTCACACGATTATGAGGGCACTGGTAAACAGAGTCCTAAACTCTTAGGAGAGAAATCCAAGTTCTCAGGAAGGGAACAGTGGCAAAAAAATGTCTCATAAATATTATACAGTGGAACCTCAAATATCGAACTTTCTTTGTTCCAGACGGCTGTTCGAGTGCCGTTACCGAACGAATTTATTCCCATCAGGAATATTGTAAATTAGATTAGTCATTTCAGATCCTCAAAAATACACTTATAAAAGCACTTACAAAAATACACTTACTTAATTGGTTGAGTTGGGAGCAGTTCGATATTTGAGGTTCCACTGTATTTACTTTAGTAGGTACAAATAATTATAGTAATCACAAAGCAGTTACAATAATTCTTTACATTGCACTGAATCATTTCTTGAAATTTGGGAGTTTAGAACAATATTACAGAGTCAGATGGGCAAATACTGAGTTTTATTAAAGCAAATTTCAGTGTTTCTATCTCTGGTATGTGAAGCATTTTTTTCTTTTTTAACCCTCATTCACCTGGCTTGAGATAGGTATTCTGAACAGTTTCAACCAACACTGCCCGTTTTAAGAAAAAATCACTTGCGTGTTTAAAACGAATTCTTGTATGGTAATATAAAGAGTTTTTGTGTGATTATTTTCTTCAGTGTGTAGTGTGAAGTTAATAATGTAAGTATGTTTTAATAAAAAGTGAATTAGTGATGTTAGAACATTAAATACAGTATATGATATATAATTTTTTCACAAAAAAATTAAGTTTTCCTTGTTTTTGGCAGAACAATTTTTCATTCTCCGAAAAGGAGGACTTCAGTGATTTACCACCTAATCAACGAAAGAAAAGAATCCAACAACGAATTGATGATGTTACAACAAAACTCCATCAAGAAACAGCAGCCAGGTAATATTTAATTAATGTTTTCTCTAGTAACTATTTTTTGTATAGACTTCAAACTTTAGAAGTTCAACTTTAACCTTGATTACTAGCATCTTAAAAATATTTATTAAAAGAATTATAGTGTGTGACTGATTACAATACTGGAACTCGATGAGCAGAGCCTGAATTATAAATATTTTTTCACAGATAATTTTTTGAAATGCAATGATACTTTGTGTATGTTCATTTTATGGATGTGTAGACTTTTTGGGGTAGAGATTAGTTAAGAATCATAGATAAAATAATTATAATGTTCTAAAGTAGTAGTAGTTGCTGCTGCTGCCACCCTACTGGACATGTCCATGGGGTAAAGGGGGATAGCACAGTGGGATCTTATACCACACCCTCCCACCCACAGTTATCCTTACCACTACCTTCTCACACTATATACCCAGGCACATTAATCCTTACCTTAACAATGAGGGAACATTGAGCATATATAAAGAGTCTTGAGTTGGATACAGGGTGAGAGATGGTGAGAATGAATAGGAGAGGGAGCGAGTGAGCAAGTCCAGCTGCTGCCCATCACTATACACCTATCACCTGCACCACACACACACTTCTACTGCATTGAAGACGTGTTGAGCATATGTACAGAGTTTTGTATTGTATACGATGTAAGAAAGAGGATCAGAGTGAATAAGAGAGAGAAGGACATAAGGCAGCTACTGCCTGCCCCAACACATCTATACTGTACTGCAGCTCTATTTTGTTGAATTGACTTGTATACATTGATTGAATTTTTTAATACTATTTTTATGGGTAAATATTCTTAGTTAAAAAAATAGATGAAATTAGATAGAGAATATTATGACTTGAGAATGTATATTTGATTATAACATAGGTATGGTATAGGTATTTGTAGATAGTAGGTTGGTAGACAGCAACCGCCCAGGGAGGACTACCGTCCTGCCAAGTGAGTGTAAAATGGAATCCTGTAATTGTTTTACATGATGGTAGGATTGCTGGTGTCTTTTTTCTGTCTCTTAAACATGCAAGATTTCAGGTACATCTTGCTTCTTTTACTTACACTTAGGTCACACTACACATACATGTACAAGCATATATATACACACCCCTCTGGGTTTTCTTCTATTTTCTTTCTAGTTCTTGTTCTTGTTTATTTCCTCTTATCTCCATGAGGAAGTGGAACAGAATTCTTCCTCTGTAAGCCATGCGTGTTGTAAGAGGCGACTAAAATGCCGGGAGCAAGGGCCTAGTAACCCCTTCTCCTGTATAAATTACTAAATTTAAAAAGAGAAACTTTTGTTTTTCTTTTTGGGCCACCCTGCCTCGGTGGGATATGGCCGGTTTGTTGAAAAAAAAAATTATGGGAAAATAGGTTTAGTTTTTGAACAGATGATATATGTGATGAATGGTTTTGAAAACCGACAAGTTGAAGAATTGAGACACTTATGCAACATATGGGAATCTTTATTAAAGAAACGTTTCACCACAGAGTGGCATCATCAGTCCTATACAAGGCAGGAAGGTATAAGGAGAGGAGGAGTTTGAGGTAATCAGTCCCTCAGCCTGGAGTCGATGTGTTCAGTCCATCAATCTTGTAGAAAGTACAGCACAGAGTCATAGAAGTGGCTTATATACTGTAGTCAGGTGAGGCAAAGCAGGAGGAGGCGGGGTCATAGTGGAACCATCCATTAGTCTAAATAGGTTATTGTCCAACAGATTGGACAAGTGTTGAAGAATTCTTTGTATCAAAATCCCATCATGATGCAGTGTCCAATATGTTGGACAAAGTCCTACTTAGACTAGTGGATTTTTCTTATGAAATGATAGAGACTCTTTATCTGAAGGTAATGAAACCAAGAGTATGAAATTGGATGGAAAACTTATGGAATTACCCTCCCGCAAAGCTAGTTGTCTTGGTGATATTTACGCATTAGTGATTTTGCCCACTTTGAGACCTATTTCATTGTTCAAGTTGACCTGACTCATAGATATTTCACTAGTATTCCTTCTATTCTATTGACTGAGTACAAGAAACTACCCATTTACCTATTTCAACTACCCAGTAAAGTTAAAATTGCCAGTTTAAGAATAGGGTCCAGAATAAACAGTGTAGGTATTCCTGACACTGAAAAAATATTTCCTCTATTCATTAGTTATATCCCCAAGCCTCTCCTGTATTATGCTTGCTTTCCATTTTGAATTTTTATTCACACAAGAAATAAAAGATTTTCTGTTATGCAAGCTACTGCAGTATTGTAATAATTTTATAAATAATGTCAGCACATTTGTGGACACGTATTAGATCTACCAGTCTGATGCATATTGGGCAAGTGACGTAATTTCTGTACTCTGAAATATTGGCAGTAATCGAACATTTCCACTACTTTGAGCTGAATTTCAAGCTACTTTCATTCCTCAAACCAATTAAAATCATCCTTTGTTTCTGTAATGTATCTCTCATAAACACCATATGAAAATACACTGCAAAATCGCAGTTTTCAACCAAAAACAACGTTGCAGTTTTTTCCTATTATGCATTGCTTGCTGCAGATTTTTTTTTTATATGGTGCACACTTACCACATAGACCCATTCTCTCATATCTAGGCCCAGATTTACTGCTCTCAGCTTATTTGAGCTGAGCTGAGCTCATGGTGTACTGCAGGACTGACCCATGCTTTAAAGCCATAGTACAATGGGACCCACCTTGAATGGGTTAAATGGGTCTCAGGAAACAACACGAAGTTCAATGATGACAAATTTCAATTACTCTGTTGTGGAAAACTCGAGGAAATAAAAACTGGATTGGAGTATAAAACAAATTTCAGTCAGACAATAGAGCGAAAAACTAACGTGAAGAACCTGGGAGTGATAATGTCAGAGAATCTCACTTTCAAGGATCACAACAATGTCTCTACTACATCTGCTGGGAAAATGATAGAATCAAATCAAATCAAGTTTATTCTCTATAAGGGTTACAATGTGGGGTTTACAGGATTTGGATATTGTGTGGTTTACATGTTATAAAATACTAATTACAGAGGGGGCCACTAGGACACCTAGCATGGCTAGGCATTTCGGGCAGACTTAGATTAATTCTTAACATTAAATCCTTACAGATTATGGTATTAAGGCTAGGTGACTACATTATAATTTGTGAGGTTAGCAATGTGAATGCTTTTGTTTTAGCACAATACAAAGTGTCTATATTGGAGTATCATAGGCAAACTTATGACTAGTTAGGATTCATTATTTTAAGATTAAGATTAGTATTTCTGTGTTTATAGTCAGTGGGTGAGTGAGTGTAATTGTGAATGGATAATGAGAACCTTCAAAACCAGGGATGCCAAGCCATTGAAGATTCTCTTCAAATTGCCTTTTCTCTCCTGGCTGGAGAACTGCTGTACTGTAGGTGAAATTGCAGACCTGGAGTATATAGAGCCTCTCCTCACTTAGCCCTTTCAGGGTCGATCCTGTAGTATTATATAAGGCTTGAGAGCCAGTGTCGGTCCCTGTAATACTACGCCAAAATTCTAGAGCCTTCAAATCTAGCAGGAGAAAGCTGGTAGGCCTGCATGTGAGAGAATGGGTCTGTATGGTCAGTATTACAACCCAGGATTCCAATTGGCCTGTTATCCCGGGTGTAATGGGAGCAAAATAAACACAGCAGAAAAAGTTTAGACTTATATTATCCTTCACCAATTTAGAACAGCAATATGTACACTATGTACAGTGATAAGTATAGTGCACTCCACGGTAAGCAAGGCAGAAATAGAAGCCACAAGATAGCAGACCGTGCTTCACCCAGCCATAGAATGGGAATGACAAGGGCAGACAGGAGAGTGGTACCCACATAACCTCTGCGATTGCCAAAACCATCTTCTTATTGGCTAGAACCTGGTCACTAGTTGAACGACGGGGCCCCATCAACTCTTAGCAACCTGGTTCGCTGGTTGGGGGAGATAGCCTGTAAATGAGGGTGTGTACATGCGCCAAATAAAGGTTACGTACTCTTTGCATGCCACAGTCAGTGTGCGCAGTATGAAAAAAAATCGGGGCACCTGCATTGCATTGTGGGAGTGGCAACTCAGTGCGCCTTAGTCACCAAGCCAAGCGGTAAGGAATACTTCACTCTTCCCTTCCCAAGTGATAGTTCTAATGCAGATTGAAGTGTCAGTGAAGATGAATCTAATGGTTTTGAGGAGTTTGTGACAGAAAGTAATGCCCAGGATACCAGAAATAGTGCTGAAAACCCAGACGATTATCAACCTTCCACCTTCCACCAAAAAAGTCAAAGTGACTTATTTGCATGTGGGTAGTGGAGAAGGCTGCATGGGTAGTGGGGAAGGGAGGATCTGTGGTGGGGAAGACAGTGTGGGCTTGTGTAAACAACATAACAGCATATGTGTAGATTTACCTAGGATAACCCAAAAAAGTCAGCCAAAGTGACTTATTTCCATGTGGGTGGTGGGGAAGGCAGTGTAGGTAGTGGGGAAGGGAACATCTGTGGTGGGGAAGACAGTGTGGGTGGTGGGGAAGGCTGCATGGGTAGTGGGGAAGGTGATAAATGGTGGCAGCGGTGGGATTGAACTCAAGAGATGGCATTACTAGTTGCAAGTAATTGTTTTCCGACAAGGCGTCCCCTGTGGAGAAACTACTACTTGAACTAGCAGACATTGCAGGGATAAGCTCAGCACTCAAGGTAGTCAGAGCGTCCTCGGACACTTGAGGTAACTGGACACTATCTTGCAAGTCTGAAGTTGCAGGAACACAGACAGATGTGACAGGATCATCAGTGCCTGACCGCTTGGGTACGCTACTGGAAAATGCACTGGCCTGTAAGGACTTAATTCGAGTGTCATACTCTGCGGCAGTATGGCAGATCTCGGATCCAAGCTGGTAACCCCAAAATGGTACGATCAAGTCATCAATTTGGGCATGCCATCGATAAGGGTCGAGCACAATGCGTAAGTCTCGCATGGAAGCAAAGCCCAGT